AAAAAATATATTTAATTTTTATTTGTTTTTTATAATTTTTGTAATTAATTTAATTTATTATTTGATTAGTAATTATGTTATTTATTTATTTTTTTTTATAATTGTCTTTTATTTATATAATTTAATAATTGAATATTATCTTTAATTAACAATTTTGTGTTGTTCCTTTTCTTTTATGAAATAATCTTTAATATTTTTTTTTCAAATTTATTTAAATAATATAAATATTGTTTACATTTTTTTAAAATGTATTTAATTTGAAATTTTTTGTTTGTAAATATATTTTCCAAATGATTACAAGATTAATTTTCTTTATAATTAATTTATTTTAATTTGATTAAATAATAATTATGTTATTTATTTATTTAATTTTTATAATTGCCTTTTTTTATATAATTTAATAATTGAATAGATAATGTTGTCCGAAATTAACAATTCTTTTTTTTTTTCCTTTTATTGTTCTTTTACCTTTGATTTTGTTTCGAATTTATTTAAATAATATTTATATTCTTTAATGTTTTTGAAAATGTATTTAATTTGATTTTTTTTAAATATATTTTCCAAATATAATATTTGTGATTAATTTTCTTTATAACTTATTTATTTTAATGCGTATTGTATGATAGCTAGAATTCGGTTCCCTTGATTTTGTGAGATTATGCTTTCTTTTGTTATCTGTTGTTCAATGCTCTAACATTTGAATTTTTGCACGATGGAGTATCATTTAGATGGGGAGTTGAGACGGATGACGGGGAAGGCTACTTGGAACAGTAGCTTTGAGAGTTTTACTACTGTGTTGGAGCTGCTCGATGATCAGCACAAAGATATGCTACGATAGTCTTTCTTATGGCCACTGTACCAGTTGCGAGAGGTGCAGTACTCAAGACAGATCATCGATGCACTTCTATGTCGGCTTCTGAGGTCAGTCGACGGCGATTCCCTCTAGTTCGACCTCGGGGGCAAGGTCATCAGTTTCTCGACATTTGAGTTTGCATTGATCACTAGACTGAGAATTACGGGCGACAATACAGTCATTGAGAGAAGCAATAGGCTGTACGAGACGCACTTTCAAGGATATGGATCGGTGCTTCTACCCGGCTTGATGGTCGCGATCAGGGGGTGCGACTAGATGCTAGATAGATTGAAGCTTGGGCTGGTCTACATCCTCGAGAGTGTGATGAGGTGTCATCAC